GTGGAGTCACATGATATCTCAGTCTGCAGTATACACGGTTACCATGAAGAGATGTTGCCGACGACTTTGTAAGATCAGCCAGGCATTTTTGAAAGTTAATTTTATGGTTTTAATGGTGGATTAGAGACATCAGCATTCTTCAGAATTTTGAACATACGTTTTGCATATTTGCTCAGCGGAACTAGAGGGATGCCAAGAAATTCCCGCCAAGACTTTAACGTACAATATGATTAAACTTTGTCCAGGATTTCAGGTACGTCTGGATAACTTCACAAGCATCATGCACTTATTACAGGTCGCAACAAATAACATGCTAATACTACGGACACTCCAGACAAATGACTTGCATACTGCTTACAATTTGTATAGATAATGAACAAGTGCAAAAATGCGCAGATGTCCATGTTTACTATGTACACCTCATACAAATAATATGCAGAGAATAAACATATAACAGCTGGAAAACACTCATTTTTAGTTGACAGTAGTGTAGTTAACGTACGAATATCACTGGAAAAGAAAATGAGTTAGGTGGAATACCTTTAGTACTTGTTTAGTACAAGCTTAAGAAACTAGAATTTGACGAGGATTCATATGCTTACTGGAAAAAGTTTGCTATAAATGAAACAACATAAAGCACCCATACAAGTTATTCAACCTATGGAACACAAAACAACATAACTTTTATCACAGTTTCGCTGCATCATTTGTATCATTTAGTATTAAATATGCTATACACAGTAACTTACGATTTTTTTAACCACTGAGATAATTTTCTTCATTTTGCAGCAAAATTCTGCAAACCTCTGGAGGTGCCATTTGCATTACATACAGAAAACCTGAAAAAGATTTTTTTTGTGACCTTTGCTGCACTAAATTGTAGTGACATGTTAAAGAGGAAACCGTGTTGTGTGAATATGCGTGTACGTTCGTGACATTACGTTTTTATATGCCTGTACAAATTCGCACGATATCTGTACACGTGTATCGAGAATATATAAAAGGTTAAAATCTCTATACACGTAGTTATCACCTTAAAGCACATCCTTTCCGTGCCCAATCAGTGGCCTTAGGTTTAACTCAGCCGAATTTAATAATTCGAGATCTAAAAAAATGCAAGCTTGGAATTCATGAGATTAAAAACGAAAAGCCAATTTTTTGGTCTGGTTTTTTGATCTTTGTCTTTAACCTCAAATTAAAAATTTTGCCAAATAGTACCGAGTATGGGCTGTATATGCACGCATGCTTGTTTATATAAATATACATGCGTTATATATAAATATACATGCGTAACGCATGTTACACATGTACATACATGCGTTACATGCCCTATGTGTAATGCGTGGGTGTGAGAGACGATAATGATAATTTAACTGCAGAACTGAAAAAGATAGTAAGCTATAATTTGAAAAATCATTCCCACTTGCGAGTGGATCCAGACAAATGTGATAAGCCACTTCTTAAGTAATGTCGCAAATTTTCTTCCCTAAGCCTTAGTTTTTGCCAAAACGACTGCAACATTATGCGCCATGTCACCGTCGTTATATACCATTATGCAGCATATTACTTTTATTATTATTATTATTATTATCGCTACTATTGTTATTACCATTATTATTACCATTATTATCGCTATTACTATTATTGTTACTATTATTATTACTATTGTTATCACTATTATTATTACTGCTATTATTATCATTACTGCCACTATTGCCACTATTATTATCACTCATTATTATTCCTAATACTATCATTATTGTCATTTTTATTGTCCGTTATCACCAGATAAAAAGAACTGTATGTTTTTAGGCAGTCAGTCGTTGCGAGCAGGTAGCAGCTTATTGATAGCTGAGATCAATAACGCAATGCGTTGCATTTTGCAGGGTAGAGCTTGAAAGAAATCAAATTTTTTTTACGTTTAAAATTAACTGTAGTTAACCCACGACGCGATCTCTTGGATAAAAAAGAACTAGTTAAAAAACGTCACAATAACAAACCAGTAGAGTACGGCACTGATAAACGCGGACGCGGTGTTGGCTAGAAGTGGTAAATAGATAAGTTTCCATTCATCCGATATTGATAAAAATATATAAGCCGAGGAGCAGACTCCAACGGTTCTGGCCAAATTTGCTGACTGACCTATTGAGAAATATCCAACAAAAGTTACCACTGCCTGAAAAGTGAACTTATCCAACTAGTGATAGTGCCTAATTTAACGTTCCCATTGGTTTTCATACGAAATTTTATTATATTTGTTACAAAATGCTATTTTAAGTGAATGTGAAAAACGAATAAAATATAGCTGAGCTGTCAATTATCACTGCAACACCGCCAGACGGAAGCAAGGGTCGCCGATTGAGCCCATTTTTGCTAATTCCTCTTCCTTTACTATACTCTTCTTATCGTTTTAAAAAATTCCTCAAACTTTTATTATGATATTCTTTTATTCAAAACCCTTATAATTACTACAGCTGTCGCACTGATGAGGTCCAGCTGTGGTACCGATTTGGAATGTATGCGACTCAGTGGAGCGAAACATTCCAATTCAAGGCTCGTTTTTTTATCTATATTTAGACTATTTAGACTAGTTGTTATGAATTGTCATGACCTAATTTGTTGGCTTTGTGATTTTATGAGCAATGATTTTTCAGGTGTCGCGAAATCGCCGAAAGAATAAAGGCGAGATTTGCTGTGATAAACATAAGCATGCAGTTTTTTTAAAGATCAAAGCCGTGTTGAATCAAAATGGAGTGTCTAAAGAAGTAAGTTGGGCCAGAAAAATTTTTCGGCAGGAGTTCTAAGAACATACGACTTTCCACGCCATCTGTATGTGCTAATATTCCATCAATTTGGACGCACATGCTAATATTTTCACTTTATCATTGTTTTGACACTGAAAAACTAAGAAGGAGTTAGGACTCGACAGTTGCAAATTTTTGAATTTGCTGATTTTCAAGTCTTCTCGTCTTATTTAGAGACTGAACTTCTCTCTCAAGCAGCGCTTGCAACGAAATTTGACTTTATAGAACAAAATTTGTGTCATAATAATAACTTAATATACCCGTGTTGCTGCAACAGCAGCTGCGCCACTGTGATCGTCGCCGGCGGAACACGTGAAAAGATAAACGCTGCACAGGAATGTGCTCATTGTTAGCTCCAGTAAAAAGCTCTGCAAAATGACTTATGATTTTTGTGTTTCGATGCAATGATTGCCATTTAATTTAACGATGTGGACTGCTTAACAGACATAACAAAATTCACGTGGTCTCCTTCTGATTCTGCTTTGTCCCCGCAAAGAGGGGTCTGAAAAGTGTATCCTCACACCGACAGGATTTTGTATCCGTTTGAGAACATACCGACAGAACTGCAGAATCCCGCTTCAAATCCCAAATCTTTACCAGCGACTACCTCACATACTAACATAAAACATCTCAACACTACTAAATCAATAGGACAAAAGCCGAGAAAGCGATTGTGCCAAGTCTAGGCAAGAATATTTTTATGTTTGCCCACTTCGCAGCAGCAACAGCTCATTGCTAAAATACGAGGCTGGGACTCCATCCACCGGTACGCCACCATTTATTCAGAGCAAATAGTTACTGAGAACTGCAGCTGATCATACCAGTAACACCACCAACAGGGGATACACATACTGATAGCTGGAGGTCTTTTTTCGCTATTGAAATCTTATCACTAGCCCCTATTTTGTGCTTTCTTCGTCTCTTCGATGGTTGCTCCTTCGCCGCCTTCTCCTTGATCTATATGTTTCATTTACTATTTTTATGCGTTTTTGCATAATATGCAAATGCAAAAACGCATATTGTGACACCCCGGTGTGTGTGTGTGTATGTGTGTGTATGTGTGTGTGCATGTGTGTGTGTGCGTCTGTCCGGATATTTCAACTCGACACCCAAGCAAGCTCCGG